GGATCTCCTCAGCACTTAATAACGAATTACACACCGAGCTAAGAATGAAATTGATGTCATTATGATTGTTGGTTTAAGTTCTATTATCGTCTCACTGTGATTTCTTTGACGTATCGACAGTGATTTTTTTATTGTGTTGCCGGCTAAACCGTCTGATGAAGCCACTAATTCGTGCTCTTTAGGACAAAATTTAAACTCTGATTCCCATGAATTAAGGCGGCACTCATTCTGTATTGTTAAATCTTTCGATGTTGCATGGATGCACTGAACTCTTTCAGTGCCTTGACTTCGCTAATTCGCAAATTGCGTCTAAATCGCTTCACAGATATTCACGCAGATTGCTCTGAGAATGAATAATGAACAAAAATCACAACACAGTGTTTTGTAAAATACCCTGTTTGCTCTGCGGTCGTAATCAGCAGTGTTGCTTTCACAACATTACCACATCTCTTTGATTCTAACATCATCGTCCATCGGTCCAGTAGCTTCAAAGCTATGGCTTAAAGGTTGAGATATATCTGCGCCAGCGCCTTTGTGGCCGAACTGGCATTTTACCGTTTGTGTAATACCGATATTGGCATTTACGGGTTAAGAAATTAACAAGAAATCTTTGAGTATTGTTATTAGCTTCAATTTGAACAAAGAGATTAATCCCCTTTGTTGAAAAAGGGTAGAGTTCGGTTAGTAGGATTTCTATCCTATCCGGAACGAGGTTATTATTTCAAAACTGCTGGCGGTATAAAGTGTTTTTATTGCTTCTAGACAACACATTAAATTTGGGAAATAAATGAGGGCCACAAATCTACGTCGCAGCTTCCATGATGGACCATTTCATATCACCATATATAGATTGAGAATCATGCTGTCTTTAATTTGAAATCATCTTAATATGATATTCATTATGTATACCCAGTGATGGGACGAGCAAGTCGTGCGTCTGGTGATAAGTTATCCATAAAAGTGCCACTCAAAGCCTTAAATCACAAAGACCTGAGGGGCACTGCCACTATGCTCATCACTCTGAGACATAAGTTGAAAAGTCCCATTTGCCTGTGATTTCAGCAGGACCCTTATTTTTCAAAACCGAAACGCAGTAATGCTCACATTGGCAGAAATAGGTAAGGTGGCAGTACTTCCCTGGACGAACTCATTCACAAGGAACTCTACTGCTACTATCTCTCATACAAATGATTTTCCTTTCCAATAATTTAAAAAACAAAATGTTAGAAACTTTCGTTTTAATGACAGCAGTACTGCAGACGTGTTAATCGGTTTTGGTATTTAAAGACCTCTCTGAAAGTAAGTCAATAAATATTCCGGTAAGCTAAAAACATCTTTCCTCTCGTGACTTGTCATTTAATACGCAACTAACTATTTCTCCAAACGATTTTGTTCCTTTTATTCCCATTGCAATTTCCCTACGAGTCCAACAAATCGATAAAGCAATCGCATCTGATTATGCATTTGCAGCCACGACTCCAGCAAATTTGCTGATGCTACCAAGATTAGACTGTTTTAATAATAATTACTTTTGCTTATCGCCTTAACGGACAAATACTTCGAGATCTAATTAGTTAAGAGCTGATATAAGCGTTTAAATTTGAGATTTGTGTTTTGTAATCTATAGAGATGGGGTAAATGTTATAATAATATCGATTACATTAAAAATCCGGTATTCCGCTTTAATATAATTTCGTTACTTTGTATTTTTTTTACTTATTCCATTTCGTCGCCTTAGTTTCTCAAACTCGTATCTTAAAACACATAGTTAATGAACGCAAAAAATGGGTTGTATTGTATATACAAATTTTGCAGCCTGATTTCACATCACATTTCCTTCTTATTCACACACTGCCTTTTACCTATTCTTAAAGTAAATATCGAAATTAACACCCGTGATTAACAAATTTAAAATAAATAGAAACTTTCTACATCTCCTGAATAATCACTTTATAAGATAAGAATTTGAGAAAGTAAGGCATCGATTTGTGTTATTTTTACTTGTTGTCAGTAATGTACTAGTGATTATCGTTTATCAAGTCGAGCAAAGAAGAGGAAGCTCTTCTTCAGATTTCACGCTGCTTCCTTCTTACTGAGGGTCGTGACCTCCCAGTGAAAACAGTTTCTGCATGACGACGCTCCTGAGCCATCTGTCTGTCATAGTAGAGCGCATCATGGAGACTCATGCCGCGAGCCGTACAGACATGGTCGGACCATCTTACGGCGACCTCTCGGAAGTTTACCGTCGATCCGTCCGTTAACTATTAACTGTTCCAGGTTGTTCCTTCTTTTGCAATGTGAACAAAGAGATCAAGTATTTTACGGAGACACGGAGCCGCTTAGTCAACGAAATACGTATTTTTAATTTGGTTGTTGAGGCAGCTCTTGCGTCCGCTCTACTGTGGATGTGGTAAATAACATTTGAAGCTAAATGTAAAGGACTAAGTGAAACAACTTTATTCGGATCTAAGTCGCGTTTATTTGTTTTTAACAACTAACGCAAAAAAAAAACAGGTGAGTTATAGGTTTCACGCCTTTGTCTGTATATCTATGTTTCTCTCTATGCCATCGTATCATCAAAACAGAGGACTGATCAAAAAGAAGTTATTTTTGGTTGAAGGCTAATTTAATCGGAATGGTTCTAATCTATGTTTAATAAATGTAGGTTTAGTAGTTTCAATATCTTCACCTCTTTTCTGAATTAGTGTAGAGATCTTAATCATAAAATGAAAATATTTATTTAAAATTTAAATTAGGCAAGTCCACGAGTTCGAAGAGCGGCGTAAAGCTATACTCGACACGAAACGTGACGAAAAAAGGGACAGCCCACCCTCCGCTATTTACTATAATTACGTAGGCGGTGTTCTCACGTGTCCTCGGTGTGCACGAGGATTTGCCGCGAAAATTGGCTACATTGGTCATCTTCGAGCGCATCAGCGCCAACTCAACTAGGAGTCGAAGTGGTCGCCTTGAACACGGTCGGATACAAAGAGAGAGAGAGATATAGTAAACTTCTTCTTCTTATCGTATCGATTGCATACACGCGTGCCATCGTGTTGATAGGAGTTGCTAATCGGCGTAAGGTACTTGTCGATGTTGCCCAGGATGTGCCAAACGTGCACGAAAGGAATGGTACCTACGTCGTGGGAGGAGGCTCCTTTTGTACACCCTGCTAAACCTGATAGGATGATGTAATCAGGCGGTCTACTCAATTAATAGACAATGTCAAGTATGAAGCTTCATTCGCACCAAGCGTCTTTTGTTTTAGTCGGGTATTACTTATTTGACAGTAATTGTTTTGGACGGGATGTCAGACGGAGAACGTGAATAGTCCCCAGACCGCAGACTACCCAACTTTTCAACTACTTACAATATCGTGTTAGGGCTCATAAATTGGTCTCGACGATTCCATGCTTATGGATGTTAAATTTATGGACTTTTTTGAGCAAATTTATTTGTATTGGGGGGTTTTTAAATTCTAATTAAAGTTTTAAAATTTCAAAGAAACCGACGTTTCCGGCTTTTTACAGGTCCGATAGTCACGGGTGACTGAGATCGTGATAGTTGTTCTTTTTTATCTTTAAGTATTCGTATGCACGTTCTCATCTCTAAAGTTCAATTTTACTGCAAGACATGTCGATAACAAGCAGTAAATAGCCTTAAAAATCAGATAGAGACCATTAGAGTGTATCGCGGATCACTTAATTAGTAGGCATTAAATCTGTCATTTGCGCCTCTCGGGCTTGCGCAGGCGCACCAGCGTTTAGACCTTATCTGGGAGCCATTATGTCCCTAATAGAGGCTGGTTTATGCTACCATGGAGGGAGGAATCGGAAGACCTATGGGACATTAGGGACTTTTGTATTACTACACGGTTATCAGTTACACAGATTGTTTTTAGATAAATGCAATGGCGTCGTTAGAAGGTTTTATTTTTGTTCTATATATTCTAAGCAGTTAACATTAAGATTATAAATTCCATTTCTGGTATTTGACGACTTCAGTGGCCCAACGGTTTATACTGTGGGCGCTCAATGAGGAGGTCTTGGGTTCGATTCCCGGTAGGACCAATTTGGGAAATTAACATTTTTAAAGCCGTCCTGGTGTTGGTGTTCTCAAAGTGAATTCCGTTGCTCTTGTACTCATAGTACAAGGAAGTCCCTAGTTTGAAACTTGACAATTGATGTGGTTATCTGGTACAGTGTCAAGAGCACGTCAAGCTTTACACTTAGGACTTAAATACAACTCTATGCCGCTTATGATAAGAACGGTCCAAAGTGTCAAGCTTGATGTGCTTACTCTTGACTGTACATTATTATAGAAAGAAAGATTGTTACAATTACAAGTTGAAACGGATCCAACTCAACATATGTATGTCACAGTTCGACTGCTGAAACGCTGGATTTTGGTTGGAGCCGTTTTTATCGGATAAGATGGCACGATAAATGATAAGATAGCACATTATCTGATGTTTATTCCTATGATGGACCTTAATGATCCTTTACACAATCCATTAGAATTCGAATTCAAATTTCTCAAGTATACTGAGTCGGTTCTATTGCGCAGTTCGTGTGGCATGGCCACGGGCTTTATTTCAGATTTTGTTTTACAAACGAAATTGAAGCCATTTGAAAAATGTATATTATATACTATACGTGTTCTATTTACTTCAGTTGATATAAAAAAACATTGGTATATGTAAAGTACTTATGTAACAAAATCACATAACAGGCAGCAACTCATATTAGTTCCGTCACGCACCGCTAGATGGCATTGGCGTCGAAATAGCAAATTCTGTATCGCGGTGTTAAGATTTTCCCTCGTGGAATGACTACTGGCGGCGATGCGAATGTGAATGGAATCCAAGTTACTACGCATCTAGCTCTGCTGCCTTGTTTGGAACTCCGCTTTAGATCGTTACTGTTGAACCTACTGCACTGTACTACGCTTCTAGCGCTGTAGTGTTGGGTAGGACACGACTTGAAAAAGAGTTTGTAAGAGTAGCCTCTTTTTTGTCCTGAACCAGTACAATGTCCCACTTCAACTGAGGCGAGGCGAAGGACGTTTTGAAGCATAGCGATACATTTGAAGTCACGACTCTGTCAATGTCATTTTGCTCGTACTCTGTAGTCTGTACTGGTGTGTTTAAATGAACCTAACAAACGTGTGACTGATATATTACTTACAACTCAACACAACTGGAAAAAGTAATTGACAACTATTTGTCACTTGTATTATTCTGTAATATCTTAATGTTTCGTGAATAAAACTATTTGATCATAATAAAAGGGTATATTTAAAATAAAAAATTACATATTAAAATTTAAAAATAAAATTTGCGACACCTTTTTTCCGCTTAACCTGTTGCGCCGTTCCACAATCACCTGGCCAGCCTTGGAAAAAATGCGCTCCGAGGGTACAGAGGTGGCTACTATGCATAGCCTTTTTAAAAATAATTTGTAGAGCCTCGGATAAGCCTCCTTTTTGGAGAACCACCACTTCGCAGGGTCTTGGGACCTAGGTAGCAATGGCTCTTCCAAGTATTTGTCTACCTCTATGATACCTCCTGCCGTCGGGTTGATGTTCTTCAAAATGTCACTCACCTATAAATTTGAGAAATTTTGATGTTATTCATTTATAAATGAATAATATTTTGTAATTCGAAGGACTGACACGGATGGGCTTCAAGGCAAACCACGCCTGTACTCTGCTATGGATAGAGGCGGGTGCGAGCCACCCCAGTCAATGCTTTTTCGAATTTCGCCTAAAAATATTGTCACCCACCTGTTCATCAAATTCATCCCAAATACTGCGCTTACGTTTAGATGACGGAGATGAATTTGTAGGCTCCGGTATGGTAGGATGTTGGGAATCAATGAGGATTCGCCCGGCTTGGGACTTTAAATTTGCACATGTCCTACCATATGCAAATTCGTTTGTGAACCCATATTTTTTGAACCGCGGGTCCAGAATTGTGCTCTCAGCAAAAATATTATTTTCTTCGACGCCGGCGAATCGACTATTTATTTCATGAATGAGAACCTCTGTCATTTGGGTCACTGTCGCTGGACGTGTCACCATTAAAAAGTTAGTACACTTCTTTTTAAGAGCATTTGATATTAATATAACCTGAAAATATAATAAAATCAATTAGTTACTTAAATAAAATGAATCACTAAAGTAGGTACTTACAAGAAAATCATCACTATATCTACACTACAATAACTACAATTGGCTATGCTAGTTAATTATTTTATTTATTTCATCATGCAGTTTAATATCAAAAAACCATAGGTACTTCTGAAATCGTAACGTTTCTTTCCGAGCTCATTTCTTCCGTTACGTCTTTAAAAAATGATAGAATTTCTGATGCAGATTCTATTATCTGAATATCATCAGACGTAATGTTGTCTACATCAGGATAGTCAATCGCAAGTGTAGACATAACGCTATTTTTTGTTTTTAATATTCTTTCGAACATTTCACAAGTGGAGTTCCAGCGTGTGGGAACATCCTGTTTTAATTTTAAAACTTGTTCCTCTAACTTCTTTTGCATATTTTTAAGCCTTTCAGAGGCAAGTGGACTTCGTTTAAATACTTCGACGATTTGTTTTATTTTAGTTGTAGTGACTTTTATTTGTTTTAAAGCTGTCTGCACAATTAAATTGAGTGTATGAGCGAAACAAGGTATTTGTTTCCAGTTATTTATTTTTATTGCAGCTTTAATATTGTTCGCGTTATCGCTTGTGGCTGCGACAACTTTGTTTGTTATTTCCCAATCACTTGCAATTCTTCTTAACTCTTGAGCTAAGTTATCGGCCGTATGCCTATCATTAAATTGGATGCACTCTAGTAAAAATGATTTTAATTCTGCATTATTATTGAAAAAATGAACCGTCACAGCTAAATAATTTTCATTGGGTTTGGATGTCCAACCATCAGTTGTTATGCAGACATACACGGCTTGACTCAACTCTATCTTTACTTTTTCCTTGATTTGAATATACACATTTGTCATTAAGGCGTTAGACAATGTCTTACGACTAGGTAATTGGTAGCCGGGGTTTAGTTCTTTTATGAACTCTTTCAATTCAGGTGACTCGATCAAATGGAAGGCTAAATAATTTTTTGCAAATAGCTTCACTAGCGTTTTATTTAATTGATCAGTTTTTTTAGCGGAAAGCGGCTTACAGAAGTATTGGGTTAATTTGGTGTTAGCGGCTGCAGATTTTAACTTAAATATATCTGTACTTGAAGGAATAGTTGGTTCGGATGTTGCAGGTATGATAGCAGTTGAAGATGTAGATGTAGAAGTAGATGCAAAAGGTATACATATCGCTGTTGGATCGGTGGAAGTAGTAGGCAAAAGCTGAATGTGTGTTGCGGCAGAAGCTTCAATTTCAATTGGACATTCACGTATCGCTGTAAATGCTTGCGGATGTTTACTTTTTGTATGTCTAGTCAAATTATAAGCACCGCCACCTTTATATGAAAACTCTTTTTGACAGAAATTGCATTTAGCCTTTTCATTTTGGAGATCGGTGAAAAACTGCCATGCTTTAGAGGATTTTCTATCACCAGACATAGTTACTATTTATGCATAAAACAAAAGAAAAAAGAACATAAAACAATCGTTAACGAGTATAATTTGTATTAGGTAAGTACTTGCACATTAATAATAAAAACATGAGTTTAAAAATGAGTATTTTGTTTGGATTTGCAACTTAGTTACATCACATAAATAAATATAATAATTGAAAAATATCGCGATGCGGCAAGCCCCGCCGAGCTGTCGCGGGTCGCGGCATCGCGGAGGCGCGCCGCCGCGACCCGCGCTGCCGCGACCGCGACTTTTGCGACTGACGACTTTAGAGACTTAGCAATTGGAGACGTATCAAGCCAAACAATATTTAATTAATTAATTAAATAACTTTATTGACCAAAAAAAAAATGGTACAAAAGGCGGACTTAATGCTAAAAGCATTATTAGCTATTTAAATCTAATTCTATGCATCAATTTTTTATCCGTAAAGTAATTTAATCATTTAAAATGTCAAAGTACTTAACTAATTTAAATTTCTAGCTTTTTAGATCAAATTGCAATTAGTATAAATAGAATCCAAGTGAAAACACGCAGCCTCGTTAGACAAAATTTTTTTAAGTTTATTCCGGCCATTACATTTTGCTATTGCTATGCTATGCAGATGCTACAATTTGTAATGGCCGGTTTAAACTTCAAAAAAGAATCATTAATAATATTGAAATATCACACAAACACACAGACATCCAAACAAAATGTTATTATAATAATTAATACTAGACATTATTAAAATATAATTATAAAATTCGTTTAAATCAGACTTACAATTTTGTTTTGCCGCCTTCTTACTCAGTAACAGATTATTAACCTGACTAATGCTCGCACTGCTAAAGGGGTACTAACGTGACGACGAGGCGACTTGAAGTAAGCGCAGAAACACGACGTCGGCGTCGACGCGGACGCGTTCTCTTTCACTCTTGGCGCAAACTCGTACGCGACATAAAATTTGAAGCAGTACATGTAAAAAAATTGAGCCGCTCTTACATTTGTGAGTCTTGTACGGGACAAATGTCATGCCTCTTGTATGTCATACTCAACACTATAGCGCTGCTTCCTTATGGAAACTGCGCTTTAGAACGTGACACGTAGTTGTTGCACCCTGAGCCGCTTCCTAATTGGAACGTGTGTACGGGTCCTCGACTACGTGCCGATTAGCGGGAGTCCTTTCCCACTGTACCACTGACGTTGTACATACTGTATATGTTGTCTATTAACACCTGTCACCCTATTGGAAAAACCTGATTTCCTTCTGTCACCCCAATAAGAACTTGCTACACTTATTGAACACAGTAGTTTTCTTGTAAAATTTCGAGGTAAGTTTTTTTTTTTCTATCAGAAAAAAATTTAAGAATCATGTTTCCACACCGTATACTACTCAGTGTATATCCTCAATTGTACTATATATTTTTTCCATAGTCATTGATTCAACATTTTCACTGTTATGCGGATTCAACCAAAGCCATTTGAGGTTGCACCGACTCTTAAATTTAAAAATCAGTCGACTAGTTGCACAGACATCGGTCGTAGGCGTTACATTACAAATTTATTACAAAAACGAAATGCAAATACGTGCTACTGGATAATGTAAATAATAAATGATAATTGTAATAAATAAATGTAGTTTCTTAACTTGTTCCTTTAATAAAAGCGCCTATACCACCTCCAATAACTTTTCATAACCCAACGATGATAATGTGAATCGACTAGACGCTTGGCCCGCGGACAGCAGTTTGCTGATCTATCGAGATTGCCTAATTTAGTTATTCTTCTAGTCTATAAACGTACCAGGCTTGCTCAGCACCTGTATAGCTGTAAATGTAATAACCTGAGGAATTCAGACTACTTGATGGGATTATAATGGGCGGAAATGAATAGCTGTAATAGCTAAGTGCTAAATATGCGAGTTGGTAGAAGAAATATTAGTATTGGCAGCCGTTGTTAACAAATGTTAGCCCAGAATCATAATTTCAGGGCAGCTTTTATTTGGCAGTAAACTAATCGACAATAAAAGCTAACTGATGATTATGAATAATTGACGATAAGGATGTAGGACAACGTTTAAGACAAGGCACTGAATGTATTTTTTTTCATGACGTTTGCTCGTAATTAGTACGATTGCATAGTGGCTTACTTGACTGTAATACCCCAAATAAAACACTCGGGCCTTCTTTCTTCCAATTACAGCCATGGTCGGTAAAGAGTTTTTTTTATTAGTAGCACGACAAACTTCCTTATATAAGTTAAGTTCAAGTTCAAGCAAGGAGGTTACTTAAGTTAAAACTTAAAACGTTCGCCTTAAATGGCGCATTACCTAAACAAAAATTTAATTGCAATTCAGCCACATACTACTTAAATATTTATTATTAAGAATTATGATTGATTTTAATTATTTTCTGTATAATAAATTAACAATTTTTTTTACAATCCATCATGGCGTGTTTGCTTTTTACAACATTTTAGTTCGAGTGTATTATCTATGGAAGAATAGCTAGCTGGCCATCTGTTGAATTAAACAAAAACCCGCCAGTTGCAAAATCTTGAATTGTAGTGTTGTGAACCATATTTATTCATACAAGGAATAAACATGGTATTTATTTCCTGGCAAATGTGATAAAAAACATTGTATATATCACAGACGGTAAAAAAAATACAAAATTCTAATCGTTAGTCATTTTTTAGTCATTTCTTATTTACCGTCCTTAAACACAATGCACTATTTCTCAAACATGCTTGGAAATGTTTGCATTACTTTCAAAAAACAAACACGGAAAGTTTGTCGTTTATGGACCGTGCTACTTCTTCCTGGCCAAGGCCTGCAGAGTAAATATGAAAATCCATTACTGTCCGCTGCACTAAACTTTTAAATTTATCTACTAATAAATTATGTAAACAGGCAAAAGTATAACTCATACAGCAAACTGAAAAGTTTGTAAGAGTTTGTTCGAGAATTGAAAATCTACCTGTACCGCTTACATAAAAAAAATATGGCGGAAAAATAAACTAACTTTAGTTTATTTTTAACCGACTTGAAAGCACTTGCTTTGGGAATTATTTTGTGTTATTTCGTCTTTTTTTGTATTGACGTCGCGTCGTGAAAATGAATTCTATTGAGAAGAGCGATTACGAAAATTTAGATAATGGATACATATTCAAACACATCACCAGAAATTCAGCAGACTACTATTAACGTGCCTGGAAAAACAATAACACATTCTTTTAGCATTTCATATTGTCCTAACATGTCTAATATAAAAATATTTTTTACTTTTTCCATTAGACATCTTCTTTAGTCGTTTATTATTTCCTCATATTGTTTGAGAAAAGCACTGTATATGTTTCGGTGGGAACGGGGATTGTTTGACTCGTATTAATACAAGGCTCGCTGGTGCTTGGCATTGTAACTCATACCCGTCCAGCAATTTCTTACCGGAAAGTAATTAAAAAAGCCTTTGCGATAATGTAGTCAAGATCAAGGTCAGGAAGTGACACTCAACAAGAAGTCTTGTTACGGCCATTTCGTATGAAGCGGCTGATTTTGTATGAAACGGTTATATTGCTTTTGCGTTTTCAGTAGAACTCTCATTGTTTTAATTTAATCCATAGTTCTCTACGCTGGCCCAATGAGGGTTGGAGACTTCATGCGTATTCCAAAGGCTATTAACCTTCTTCAATGTACAGAATTCATCACTCGGCTTCCCTTCACCGATTACAAGAGGTATTTATTACTAAACATTAACAAATGTACATAACGAGTTCTTAGGTTTTCGCGATTGTTACACATAGGAAATGAAACTATTTTTCCGGATTTCAATCGCGTATATTTGTTTTTTCAAATAAACCGACGTTTCGGGCCCTTTACAGGTTCCATGGTCACGGTTTGTTTGAAAAAACAAATATACGCGATTTAAATCCGGAAAAATAGTTTCATTTCCTAAATGTACATAACTTACAAATTAAAATCATAAGTACGTATCTAACAAAAACGTTTATAAAATATATTTTAAACAATTACTCTTATTTGCTCCACATAATCTCAGTATAGAGTACTAAAAAACAGACCTCAAAAGTCATTCATCCCCTAGTTTGCCACCCTTAGATGTGGAATATTTTCTAAACGAGACTACTACTGAGGTACCCTCTTTCCAACAAAAAAAGAATCATCAAAATCGGTACACAAATGTTATCGCGTAACATTCATACAAAAAAAACATACAGACGAATTGAGAACCTCCTCCTTTTTTATGAAGTCGGTTAAAAATTAAAAATATCATGGTCTTAAATCATCGTATAAGTCATTACAATCAATAATACAACAAAAACTTTCATAGATTTGTCACAGATGACTCTACGGCAATAAATCCGCTTGAAACCAAATATAAAGATTTATAAAATTAGTAAGGTCTGCTGGGTCGGTCTGTAGCTCAGTTTATAGAGTGGTCGCCCTAGTGTCCAAAGGTGGCTCGTCCTAAGGAGCGCTGGTGCAGTGAACTCTCACTCCTATCCAACCCACCAAAATAAATTTATCAATTGTGCTTTCATATCATGTTAGTAGCCACAGTACTTTTTTTTTATTATTGAACGACAAACATACAATTACATTTTTATCTTTCTGTTTAATATAGTATAGCATACTGACCCTTGAGTGGAGCGCTTCGCGATGCGCTCCTATGAACCGAAATTGTTTACAAAGTTCAGTACTAAATTCAATGAGTGCGAAAGAGAAATACTTACTTTACGGCGCGACACGTGAAACAAAAGATTAGTATGAGGAAATTAGCAAGATTTCAGCGGCGCTCCGCGCAAATAAGCAAACCATATTTTTTTCGCACGCATTTTGTTGTGTTATAAAAATTCTTATTATTCAATCGTTGTTAAGAAGCGTAGTGTTGTTAAAATGGAACACTATAGTGTGAGTTTCATTTTTTATATAAAATATGTATAGGTAAGTGAACTCCCACTGAAATCTCCCACGAGCCGCCTCTGCTGGTGTCACACAGATGCAGTTTCGAGTCCTATCAGATCGATGGAATTTTTCTTTGTGTTCGATCGTTTGTATTAATAATTAGTAGGATGTCTGATTTCTTATAGGCGTTCAATTTGCAAACTGAAACTATCTACCCATTTTGGTAATATTTTGATAAGGTATCCTTATATTGATTATTTACATTAACTCATTTAGTATCTCAAGACTTATGCATAGATATCGAGTTCCTAGGCTTTCGCAAATCCTACACATTGGAAATGAAACTATTTTTTCAGGCTTAAATCGCGTATATTTGTTTTATCAAACAGATCAACGTCGCGAGCTTTTTACAAATCCCATGATTACGTCTCACTGACTATAAGTCAAGTAAGAATTTGTTTCACTTTTGAAAAAAAAACAAATGTACACGTTTTAAAAAGTAGTTTCTAAGAAATATACTCGATTTAGACAATAGTTTAATTTTCAGTCCACAAAAATTTCACTTTTGTAAAAACAAATGTACACGACTTAAAAAATAGTTTCATTGTTAGGCCTCAAAAATTTCACTTCAGAAAAAACAAATTTACTCGAGTTAAAACATGATTTCATTTCCATTTATACATAGAGTTACTTCAAAGTTAACAAGTAACATATCGAATGGAATGATTCCTCCACCGTAAGATGCCACTGATATTGACTTACACATTCTAAATACTTGAGGTACTTTATAGCCTCCCGGTTTCTGCTACCAGTATTATCCTAATGCGGCCCTGGGGCTGACGTAGCTCAGATCTGCAACTGTCTTAAATTATACATGATTATCCTGTTCTTTCCTTTTCATGTCTTCCTGTAGGAATTGGATTCGTAGATAGATAATTCACAATTACAACTTGTTGTTACGCAGGTATGTTCTATTTATTTTGAACAGAGCTATCTTCTTTTGATTTAATACCGCACACACGTCTATACTTTATGGTTCCTGCCTGTATTTTTGTTATTTTTATATTAG